AAGTTTGGAAAACTCAGCAGTGGCCAGAGGATTGGAAAAGATCAGTCTATATTCCAATGCCAAAGAAGGGCAGTGCCAAAGAATGCTCCAACTACCGTACAATTGCACTCATTTCACATGCTAGCAAGGTTATGCTCAAAATCCTCCAAGGTAGGCTTCAGCGGTGTGTGGACCGAGAACTGCCAGACGTACAAGCTGGATTTTGAAGGGGCAGAGGAACTAGAGACCAAATTGCTAACATGTGCTGGATTATCGAGAAAGCCAGAGATTTCCAGACAAACATCTACTTCTGCTTCATTGACTACGCAAAAGCCTTTCACTGTGTGGACCACAACAAACTATGCCTGACCAAATCATCTGCCTCCTGAGAAATCTATATGTGGGACAGGAAGCAACAGTTAGTACTGGATATGGAACAACTGATTGGTTCAAAATTGGGATAGGTGTACGACAAGGTTGTATATTGTCCCACTGCTTATTTAACTTATATGCAGAAGAGATCATACGAAAGGCAGGACTGGATGAATCCCAAGCCAGAATTAAGATTGCCGGAAAAAATACTAACAACCTCAGATATGCAGATGATACCACTTTGATGGCAGAAAGTGAGGAGGAATTAAAGAACTTCTTAATGAGGGTGAAAGAAGAGAGCACCAAAAATAGTCTGAAGCTCAACATCAACAAAACTAAGATCATGACCACTAGTCCCATCACCTCCTGGCAAATCGAAGGGGAAGATATGGAGGCAGTGAGAGATTTTACTTTCTTTGGCTCCATGATCACTGCAGATGGTGACAGCAGTCATGAAATTAAAAGACGCCTATTTCTTGGGAGGAAAGCGATGACAAACCTAGACAGCATCTTAAAAAGCAGAGAAATCACTTTGCCGACAAAGGTCCGCATAGTCAAAGCTATGGTTTTTCCAGTAGCAATGTATGGAAGTGAGAGCTGGACCATAAAGAAGGTTGACCACCGAAGAATTGATGGTTTTGGATTGTGATGGTGGAGGAGACTCTTGAGAGTTCCCTGGACTGCAAAGAGAAAAAACTTATCAATTCTAAAGGATATCAACCCTGAGTGCTCACTGGAAGGACAGATCATGAAACTGAGGCTCCAATACTTTGGCCATCTCATGAGAAGAAAAGACTCCCTGAAAAAGATGCTCATGTTGGGAAAGTGTGAAGAGGAGAAGGGGATGACAGAAGATGAGATGGCTGGACAGTGTCATCGAAGCTACCAACATGAATTTGACCCAACTCCGGGAGGCAGGGAAGACAGGAGGGCCTGACGTGCTCTGGTCCATGGGGTCACGAAGAATCGGACATGACTTAACGACTAAAGCACAACAACAAAGTGCTGTTTTGGCTACAGAATGACCAGCATCCAGATAATGAGCTCACTTCTTATACATATGGGATTGCTGTTGGTTTCATTTATTTAAATTCAAAATCCTCTCAAGTTCACAAACCCTTTCCATAGAAAACCTTAAAAACTAACTCTGGTTTCTGGTATAAATACAGGAATTTTTTTCCTGGATATCATTAAAGTCCTTACAATTACTCTCCAAGCTTAGCTATTATAATGTGTAATGTATTTAGAAAAAGCTGAAGTTAATAACTTGGCATGAAGACACCTAGACCAGAATTCTGTTGGGCGCCTGTGCAGCATAACTCTCGAGTGCAAAGGCTGAAGTTATGCCAGTTCATGCTATTGTATAGCCCTTTCCCAAATATGACCTTCTGGAATTCTGCAAACTGTGTGTTTCTCTCCAGCCTAGTCAGTATGTCCAGTTTGATTGGACTGTGCATCCATGTGAGCTCATGGGATCATAGAATAATTGAGTTGGAAGGGGGCAAAAAGGCCATCAAGTCCAATCCCCTGCTCAGTGCAGGAATGTAAATCAAAACAGATCTGACAGATAGTTGTCTAATTTTCTCTTGAATGCATCCAGCGCTGGAGCGCTCACCACCTCCCAAGGTCATTGGTTCTATTGCCATACTGCTCTAACGGTTAAGAATTTTTTCATGATATTCAATCTAAATCTGGCTTCCTGTAACTTGATCCCATTATTATGTGCCCTGCCTACTGGGATGATTGAGAATAGATCCTGCCCCTCCTCTGTATGACTACCTTTCAAGTATTTCCTTTATTTTATTGTAATTTCTAAGAATAAAACTACTACATTTTTTAAAATACAATAAGCACGTATAACTACTTGGCACAGGGAAGCTGAATGTTGATATAAAAATCAACACAGGTTTAGAATCTAGATTAAAACCTTTGGGTCCTTTGTCCTTGCCACAAAGCTTTTAACAACTTCAGTCTTGCACTGTCACCACTTGTAAATTAGTAATAATGCTACTTGTTTCACATAGTTAATTGAGATTATGACCCTAAGTGATAATCTATATGAAAATGCATGTTACATATGCTTGATACTGAGTTGCCTCAGGTGAGTAAAGATGACCAGCACGCCTTGTGTCGGATTCTGTTTATTTCTTTCCTTAATATTGTCTCAGTTTATTTAATACAGTGTACTTGGATTAATGTCATTACAAAATATATTCCAAAGAAGGGCAAGACAGGTCCCTACATGAAGGTCCTTACAATCTTGAAATAGATTCTATTGTTGTACTGCTCTAACAATTTTCCTGATATTAAGTCTAAATCTGGCTTCCTATAGCTTGAGCCCATTATTATGTATCCTGGGAGTATTATGTACTCTGGGACAACAGCATCTTTCACTGTTGTTACCTGGTTAATGTTGTAGTGGTGCATCTAGAAATGCAGGTGCTAATCATGACAGTCCCAATAGCAAGTCATAGTTTCTGCTACTTGGAAAGTCCTGGGATTTCAACGATGTAGACCCTGACTCCACTCTACCAATGTAACTTGGAAATATAGAACGGAGGCCTTGGTTTATATTCATTTTGCATGAATTGTTGAGGATTTATTCCAGAGCAATATTGCTTAATGAGAAACCTGTTGCCACAGGTATATTCCCTGACTGTTTCTAATTTTGGAAATCTTGCATTTAGTCATAATAAAATATTACATACTAAATCTGAGTCTCTCCCTGTAGGTGAGTATAGCTATCTTGGAACTACACTTCGACAAGTAAACATAGAACCAATGCCTTCTCTCACAGATGTCAAGCAGCTCATAGCATTGTATGGAATATTGCCATTAGGTAAGATTAGAAAATAAATTTCCAGAAGGCAAAATACCCTGCATGCATTTTTTTCATGTCAGCCTCATATAGTTTTTACTAGCTGTGACAGTGCTTGATTCACTTTGGTTGAAAGCATTCTGCAGAATTCTTTTTTCAATTAATTATTTCATGAGAGAGTACAATTTTAACAGCATGTAGAAAGGAGGAGTATGCCTGCAATTGTGTTTGACATAGCCTTCCTTTGCCAGTTTTGTTGCATGTGAACAGTTAGGGAACTGTAGCACATAAAACAAAGTCAATTGTGAAAAGTAATATAAGTACAAGCTCCACTGATTAAATTTAATCAAGTTAGGGGAGGAGTAAGGTTGCAATTTGCCTCTTACAAGCCAGCTAATGTGGCTGAGACCTATTAAAAAATGAAAGCATCTGTAGAAGTAGTCAGAGATTATTTCCTATATCAGAGAGAGTACTTTTACTTTTTAACTTTTATGTGTGGTCTTCAGCATTTTAGGTTTTAACCTGTAACTGGCCAGAGTAGTGCTTGCACAAATGGGGCAGTGCGCAAATCGAATGAATGATGAATGAATGAATGAATGAATGAATGTCATTTAAGTATGACAAATTAATAATAACCTAGTATGGTTGCTTCCTTAAATATTATACACATAGTATTTTGTTCAGAAAGAGGACTGAAGGATAATCTTTATGACAGAACCTTTGTCCAAAAAAGTTTTGTGTATTAGCTCTACTATATTCCTACTTCTCTTATCCTGGTGGAAAATAGAAGAAAACATTGACATTGTACACAATTATATCTATCTATAGTCAGATACTGACTGCTGCAGTCCCATTCCAAACCAGGACTGGAATCAAAGAAAAGAAAAATGAATGTGACAGCAGTTTGTTTATATACATTTCTTTGCCATATATCTTGATCATTTAGGTAAGGGTAAAGGTTCCCCCTGACAAATATCCAGTCATGTCCAACTCTAGGGGGTGGTGCTCATCCCCGTTTCCAAGCTGTAGAGCCAGCGTTTGACCATAGACAGCTTCTGTGGTCACATGACCAGCACGACTTAGACACGAAATGCTGTGGTGGTACCTATTTATCCACTCGCATTTCGATCTGTTAGGTTGGCAGTAACTGGGACAAGCAACAGGAGTTCACTCCATCGCATGGATTCAAACTGCTGATCTTCTGACCTTGAAGCCCAGAGGCTTTGCGGTTTAACCCACAGCGCCACCACATCCCTCTTGTTCATTTAGCTGGCATATACAGTGGTGCCTCACTAGACGATGTTAATCCATTCCACTGAAATCGCTGTTTAGTGAAAACATCGTCTAGCAAAAATCATTTTCCCATTAGAATGCATTGAAACCCATTTAATGCATTCCAGTGGGGAAAATAATCGTCGTCCAGCAAAAATTACCCATAGGGAAGCCATTTTGCGAAGTGCCAATCAGCTGTTATAAATCGCTGTCTTGCAAAACTTTGGTCCCGAAAACACTCGTTTTGCAAAGATCGCCCATAGTGAAACCATTTTGCGGAGACGCTGATAAGTTGGAGAAATCGTCGTCTTGCGGAAAAAACGGTCCGCAAAGCATGGACCAAATCATTGTCTAGCGAAATCCCCCATAGGAAAGGCCATTTTGCGAATCGCTATAGCAATCACAAAAAGTCAACGTCTAGTGAAAAAACCATTTTGCGGGGTAATCGTCTTTCGAGGTACCACTGTAATCTAATTCATCTCAGTGTAGGATTTATAGAATTCTGTACACTTCTGCTCAGATATAAACTCCATAAATATTATGTTTAATAATAATTGTGTGCTGTCAAAGTCAATTCTGAATTGTGGCAACCTTTTTCAGGGATTTCTAGGTCAAAAGTACTCAGCAGTGATTTGTTCTTCCCTTTTTCTGGGGACATGCTGGGACTGTGCAGTTTGCTCAAGGTCATACAGCCTCGCTGTTCTGGACTGCACACTGGGGAAATATACCTGCTGGGTAGCTCAGTGAGTTAGGCATCAGATTGGGTGTTCAAATACAATTTGCTGGGAATAATTCAATGAACAAGAATCTTCCATGCCAATCCAGCATTATGATCAGTGGGAAGTTTGCAGCTTACTTAGTGAGGTGTGAACTTAATCTAAATAAATAGATCAAAGCAGTTATGTGGTTTAGTGGGCCCTATATCTATTTTGTGTGTGTGTGTGTGTGTGTGTGTGTGTGTGTGCGCGCGCGCACACACACACACACCTGCATGCTTTAAATAATTTTTGGGGGGACAATCTCATGAGCATCATTGAACTTAGCTTACAACATACAGAAGATGGCCAGGTATTTATTGGCTAGAATTCTCTTGCATAAATTACACCTCCAGAAGGATGGTGACATCACCAGCAGTAGGAGATTTTCGGTAATTAAATTTATTTCTGCAGTTTGTCCACCTTGCATTTAATCCATTTCACCATGTGGAAGCCATGGGAGCAATAGGACAGAAGAAGGAGCTCTTAGGTTACTGAAAATTGCTGTGGCCAAACGGCACTACTGACAGGGGAAAATTTAATTAAAGAATCCTTCTATCAAGTTGCTTTCGTGGTTTCTATGTAAGAGAATAATCATAAGTCAGAAAGCTGTGGCTGAGAAAGGGAACAATTTAATTACAGAAAGTCTCCCCCTGCTGGTGATGTAATCACCTTTCTGCAGTCCTAACTTACACAAAAGGACTTCAGCTATTCTTTTAAAGGTCTGACCTTTGATGAAAAATAGTTTTCTGACATCTTAAGGATTTAGATGTTTATACAAGCTTTTAGACATTGTATACCACTTTATCAGAAGCAAGATACAGTCCAAAAAGTTTTATGCAAAATAACACTTTTTCAGCTTTTAGTTGCCAAAGTTTGTACTACTCCATAGTACTAGAGCATTCTCTGGGCCATTTATAACATAATTATGCAAGGAACACTTTGCCTCCCCCAACCCCATAAGGTTTTACTGACCTCAGAAGGATGGAAGGCTGAGTCAACCTTGAGTCAACCTAGCTGAACCCGTCAGTATGGAACTCAGCTGGTGATCAAAGGCTGTGACTGCAGGACTGCAGTTTAATCACTGCACCCTGGGACTCCTTGTTGTTGTTGTTGTTGATTATCATGATGATGTAACAAAGCAAGTAATCTAGAGACGGAACAAGCACCATCAGGATTAGATATTGCAAGAGCAGTGCTGAGCACTTGTACATTTCTTTAATTTCAATGGGAATAGGATAATCAAATGACCCGACCAGATAGGCGGGATATAAATAAAATAAACAAATTTTAAAAATGGGTGGTTTCTGCTGGAGATGGCAGGGCCTTTTTGCTGGCTCACTGTAGAGGAATGGCTAAACTTTCTTTCTCCTTGTCAGCTGTCTAAACCATTTAGAAGGAAAACTAGCTTTTTAAAAATTGAATATTCTGTTCCTGAAAGTAGTGAAAGTGCTATTTTCATTAATCCTCAATCCTATTAAACTGTCTCTCCAGCACTTGGGAATCATTGACAGGATTAATGAAAAGAAGTTTTTACAATACATATACTGTAATTACAGGGCGAAATTGTCCTTGTTTCACTTCCATAGGGTCTCAGTCCGTACATGAAAAAGCTCCTACAGTGAAAGCTTTACTTTTGGCTGGACCTGAAGGAGTTGGGAAAAAGATGCTTGTTCATGCCCTTTGCACTGAAACAGGAGCCAACCTTTTCAATTTATCTGCAGCTAACATTGCAGGTAAATATCCTGGCAAGGCTGGTCTGCAAATGATGCTGCACATGGTTTTCAAGGTAGGACAAAGAAATTCTTTCCTATTCCTTTTTGTATGTGTGTAAATTTGTGTATATCTATATTTTAATTACAGTATATAATTAAGAATGTTGTCCTTACTATATAATTAAATATATTATATTTAACAGGCACTTTGTTGTTGTAATAAAAACATTAATAGTAAATCATGGTAATAATAAAACATTAGAATTTATTTTAAAAACGGATTACTGCTCGCACAGATGTTTTACATTTGTCTTACTGAAATCTTTCAATGCTTGTGCCCAGTAAATATACATGCATGTTTATTGTAAGGCAAATAAACTCACATCTTCCAATTGTTGTTTTATCTTCCTTGTAGATCTTCTGTGCTGCTGCCATTTACATACTTACTTGGAAGTAAATCCATTAGGATGCTATATGCCTTACTCCTGAGTAGACATTCACAGATTTGCAGTCTTATTTGTCATGGGCTAGGCAACCTGCGGTTCCCCAGATATTGGAATGCAGTTCTCATCAGCCATAGATAGCATAACCAGTGATGATGGGTGATGGGAGCTGCGATCCAGAAATATCTGAAGTTTATTCATTTTAAGAAATAAATATCACTGTTATCAATTTGTTACCACCCATCAGCCACATGACTTAGCACACAACTGCAAACACCTACATTGATTTCATTTTAACAACATATATCATCTATCATTACAAAAGTGTTTCAAACTAATTATTAAGTAATTGTTCCTACATTGCTATAAATATGTCTGCTTTAACATTTCCTTTATATTTACACCAATAAATGCATGAGTACCTGCACACAGCACCTTTATTACCACTTCATTCCTCTCTTTGGGTGAGCCAGGTAGAAACAGGTAACCATAGTTTCCCTTATATGCTGGAAGGGAAACACAGTGCAGCAGCCTAGATTTGATTATTTCAGAGCACTCAGTCTTGGCCTTTCTGATGGGACTGAAAGCTGTTTTTAGTTTGCATCACAGACATCTCCAACATGTCATAAAATCACAAGAGGAATTGTCAAGTCAGTCTTGGTGTGGATGTTGGATAACCCCAAGACTGTTGTTATGGGGAACTTCAACAGTCCTGGGGTTATGCAGGACCACCCCTGAGTTAAACCCTCAGTTAACTCAGGCAGGGAGGCTACTGGACAGTGGGGTGAATGGTACACCAGTAACAACCCAATTCCGTCTCTTTGGTCCAACACAAGGAACAGGAGTCCTTATGAATGACAGCAAGTCCTCCCCCTGCCCTCCACCACCCTTCAGTGTGGGTTTGATGTCAGATCAAGTATCCAGCTGAGCAAAGATGAGACAGTTGTATACTGTCCCAAATATATACTAAATATATACTGTATACTAAAACAACATAAAATGTATCCTACCCTTCAAATTAAGTACAAATTCTTGTTGAAGAGGACAAGTACGAGCAATTGTACAAATGGATTTTACTTTTTCCAGGCTCCTGGTATGTATTTGGGCATATGATCAATCACATATAACACTAGGATTTTCATAACTACTGTGTTTATTGTCCTCCTCCTTTAACTCAGAAATACTGCAATGACAGCCTGGGTGCAGGTGAAAAATAAACATCTGCAAACATACACTAAACAACTGATGTTAGTGTCTAAAATTAAAAGCTAAACAGTTCAAAAAAGGGCTCAATATCATTCCTAGCTTAATTTAAGAGAGTATTAGAAAGGTTAAGGAGCCATCTACTGGTGACTTCAACAAAATGAAGAGCATAGCACTGCTAATAAGATTTCAATTATAAATTAATTACATAGTCCATTTAACTATCTATAGAGTCGCACTACCCATGAATAATTCAAATGAAGTACATTCATTGGAACAAACAGCCTATTACATATCTGCCAGTGAGATACCATTGGATTATTGGTGGCTCATGGTCATTTAAAAATTAGCAAAATGCTGTAGCAGTAATTGATCAGCTAAGGACAACTGCTGCTGAACATGATATATGCAAGACTTTCATTTATAGTTCATTTTGTGAACTGAAAATCAGGGGCAATTCATATAGATGATTAATCTGAATTGATATGGAAAGGATCATTGTTTTGCATGAAGCTAAATATACTTCCCCAGTAGCAAGTTTAATATAAGAGTACACTATCTGTCTGACATTATTCCTTTGAAGATAACCTGAAATGAGACTATAATATTCTGGGATCTGCCCCTGTCTATTTAACTATGATGATTGTACTTTAAAAAGTCTCTTGTAAAGAATATGAGGTATACTTCAATAGCCCTTCATAAGACATTTAATTTAACAAAGAAAAGAAAAAGTAGCAGGAAGAGAAGAAATATTATGGATTCCTAAAAGACATGTGTTTTTCACATGTATAACATTCAGTTGATTTTAAACTGGAAACAGAGATGAAATGCATTAGTAGATTAACTAGTGAAATAATTACTATGTGAGTTTAAAAGCCTTAATTCTCCTTATATTGTTTTCCTTTTATCGTTGACTCTACAGGTAATGTTTGTTTATCAAGCAGTTAATGCTTTTCCCAACATAGGCAGTAATAACTAACCATACTGGAAAATATCCATAACAAAGATTTTGTTTACTTGCTTTCCACCATCTTTGAGTTCCTGAAAAACTGCAGTGTTCCCAGAATAGAATTTAATTCCCTTAGGCTTCCCTAAGCAAGTCTGATATGAGAGAGAATCTATAATTATTTTGCATGCAAGCAACAAGCAAAGCAAGCAGAAAACTGATGGTTTTAAGGGGTTTTTTTTAATAATTAAAAATATTTACCATTAAAAATTCTTTTCCTGGGCTAATAAGCCCACTTACAAGACTAACAAGTGTGATTCGTAACAGCAATCAAAAATTTTAGGCCATTTCTGTTATTACAAGGTAATTTAAATCTCTCATATAGAGATTTTGTTTACATACATCGTATGTGGAGATGATAGAACTAGTAAATGCCTTTTCTAGTGAATATCTATTGCTGCCCTTTATAAAACAGCAGCAACAACAAAAATTCTGGCATGTTACTTTTTTCATGCTGCAAAGTAGAATTATAGTGGATCTGAAGAAGCAACTAAAAATCGTTACAGCTTGGTATGCTGTGGATATATTACAAGTCCATTAAAATTAATGGATCTGACATCAAGTTCAATGGGATATACACGACACCCCGAGGACTTGTTCACACATAACATGCATTTCTGGTGAAAGTTAATTATCATGATTATCTTTAAATCTTCATCACAAATATCATGTGTGAACAAATCCTCAGGGTATCGCTGATGCATTAATTTTAATGGATTTTGGATGCATCGACAACATACACTTCCAGAAGAGGTATTTTTAATTAACAATAACACTTTTATAATAATATTTATATCACACTTTAGAGTGTTCAGAGCATCGCACAAATTTAAAAGAGAGAGAGATGATGGGCAGTTGAGGCATAGTTTTAAGGGCAGCTAGCAGAAGTAGTTTAAGCCAGGATTCTTTGGAGACACTTTGCTTCTAGTTTGCGGCAGGTTATAATTTCAGGTTTTTTTTTCACTTGCACCAAACACTTTTATAATATATGAATTATGTGGATAAAGTAAGCTTTTCGTTGGAGTACATTGTGTTTGCTCCATTTATGAGAAGTAAAAGGTTCCCCTTGACATTTTTAGTCCAGTCGTGTCCGACTCTAGGGGGCGGTGCTCATCCCATTTTCAAGCCGTAGAGCCAGCGCTTGTCCGAAGACAGTTTGCGTTGCCACGTGGCCAGCGTGACTAGGGAACCCCATTTTACCTTCCCACCGAGGTGGTACCTATATATCTACTTGCATTTTTACATGCTTTCGAACTGCTAGGTTGGCAAGGAGCTGTGACAAAGCAACGGGAGCACACTCCGTTGTGTGGAATTAGATCTGATGACTGCTGGTCTTCTGACCCTGCAGCACAGGCTTCTGTAGTTTAGCCCACAGCGCCACCACGACCCTATTTATGAGAAAGTGAACCACAATTAGTTATCTAATATCTGGCTGTTGTATAATAATTTCAGAATTAATTGCCCATATTTTCAAATATACAGTGAGTTAGGCACTGGGAGCTGAGCTCAGTTCCCCACTGTGATTCCAGGGGGGAGAACTAGCCTGTGTAGCCTTGGGCATGTTGAGAATATTCCCAGAACATAAGCAGAGGAAGGAGATATTAGTTTGCATAGACACTATGACACTGATCAAGTATTTGCTCCAACAAACAGGGCAAGACTCAGGGCACCCTGAGAAGAAGGGAAGGGTAAACCACTTCTGAGTATTCTTATACTAAAAACCCTGGAAAGGGTTTCTATGAGTCAAAACCAACTTGATAGCATATAATTATGATTACTATTTTCAAATATGAATGCTAACTACTTGACTATCTAAAATATGTGCTGTCTCGTTTCGACTCCCAATGAGATGTGAGACTAATGTTATATCGGAAAAAGAAAAGGGGGCAAAATCAAAATATTACAGCAATCTAAAGAGTAGCAATTTTATTTCAGTGTGAGCTTTCATGGATCAAAGTCTACTTCCTCACATACTGGCGTGTAAATCAGTGGCCAGTATATTTATGAATTTCCCCACAACCAGGTGAGGGTATAGATAATAAACAAAGTAACACTGTTTTATTATCCCCAGTGTGAGACATTTTCTTTGGAAAATCCATGTTATACTTTATCATGGGAACTGGAATTAATGGTTTAAAAAAATAACAAAATTTAAATCACGGTTTGATATTTGCCATAACAATTGTCTTAACATTCCAGGTATCACAAGACAATTCTTTTGTTTTTGTTGAGAATTATCATTCTTAAGATAGATTAACTTTGAGAGTCCTCCACAAATTTCAGTAGAAGGAGCTACTCCAGCCATGCAAGAAGAATGGAAGCATGGCTTCTTCCACTGAAATTAACAGGAGGTGGGGAGGCACACTGAAGTTCCCCTTCTGGAACATGCTACAGGAACTAGATGAAAGACCCACAATCTTTACTTCTAATTGCTTCACTAGTATTTAAAATAGGCAGGACTTTAAAAGTCTTCTGATTTTTCACCTGCCCAGGTAGCAAAACAACTACAACCTTCAGTCATATGGATTGGAGACACTGAGAAAACCTTCTACAAAAAGGTGCCTAAAGCTGAAAAAGAGGTAAATCTGTTTTTTCATACTGCACTAGCAAAATTACAGCATGGCAAACTGAAGGGAATATTTCCTAGCGCCACATATGGGAAGAGACTTAAGTAACTGTTGTAATTAGAATCTAATGACAAGGAGCATACATCACCAGACATGCACTCCATAACCTTATGGAGTTTATTATGGTTATTGTCACCTTGCTTCCAGAAAATCAGAAATCCAAAAAAATACATTGTTTGCTATAGTTCTAATATGTAGGAATATATATTCCTACATATTAGAACTATAGCGTACAATGTATTTTTGTATGCTATGGTTCTAATATGAACTATAGCATATATACAGAACTCTTCACAGATCATAGTAGAAATGAGAAAGCATGATCAGTTTATAAGGTAAATAAACAAAGGCAAGTTAGTATTATGTTGTATAAAAATAGATGGTAACTCCAAGAGAAAAGTTACAACCAAATTCTCAATTTCATATTCATATTTTCTCAATTTATTACTTAAAAGTTTTAAAATTCATCATATATAAAATGTTTAAAGCCTGTGGAAAAGAATTAAGTCTCAGTTAACTACATTTCTGAATGCATGTTCCAAGCATAATGATTTACATAATTTGAGTATATTTAAGAAAATCTCAACAGTAAGATTGTTGGGTAACTGTTAAACATCAACTGAAAAGAAATTATAATCTTACATATGTTCCCATTTTACTTTTGTTCTGAATTTAAGAAAGTTTGTTTTTAGTTAATCCTACGTTTTACCATAGTGTCTTTTAAAAAAAAAAACCTGCATATGTGTTGAATCTATCTGTGAAAAGATTGGTGCCCTCTGCTGGCTAATTTGGCAGAAACAGCTTGCCACACAGATGATAGTATATAAAGTGATGTGTGTGTTAGTCTGAACTGCTTTCACAAACTTTGTGTACTTTCAGAACAACAGAAATAGATCCATACACACATTCTTAGACATTTTGTATTTCTTATTAAAAACTGAAAGAGATTTTTAATCTCAAACATTGGCAGCATAATGTTTAAGTAAACTGAGATCAAAATTGTATTTTCAGTAGGTCATTTTTTTGTAAGCTGATTTAATAAATCATCTTGAGTTCCTTCTCTGGAAGAAAGGTGGGTAATAAATAAATAAATAAATAAATAAATAAATAAATAAATAAATACATACATACATACATACATACATACATACATACATACATACATACATACATACATACATACATACATACATACATACATACATATTTTCTAATAGATAATTGTAATCCAGTCAAAATGAAGAGACTCCCTTTTTCTCTTTTCTCGACTACTCCACCTTGGGAATCACTGATAAACAACAAGTTTTTTGAAATCAAAACAGGTACTGACAATTAATGGAAAGTATTTGCATAAAAATTCAGGGGCTATAAACAGCAGCTAGAGTAAGTCCATTGAATCAGTGGAAATTGCAGAGACATTGACAAACCAAATCACCACTGATTCAATGAGCCTGTTGTATTTGCCACTTACTACTGGATTTCAGCCATTAAGATTGTCCTGAACCTGAAAAGAAATTTTAAAACGGAAATATTGGTTTACTATGAGAAGTCCTAGAAAACATATCACAATTCTTTGCAGCTTATAAAGATTCTAGATTTAATAATAATAGAACTGACTCATAAAGCTTTAGCTTTACCATAATTAAAACAAGTCCTGCTGCCACATAATGTAGTTCTTGAATTCTATTTCGCCTGATAAATGTGAAGTCTAGCACTAGGCTGTGACTCTGTAAGCATAAAAAATAATTGTGTTCATGAAGAATAGAACCAGTTGTAGGTATGGCAATAATTCTAGCTAACATATCACCTCTTTATATTTTATCTTGAAGATGGAGCCTAAACGTTTGAAAAAGCAACTTCCCAAAATGTTGAAAACTCTGAAAACTGAAGACAGGGTACTGATAGTGGGAACCACTAAACGACCCTTTAATGCAGAGCTCAAGCCTCTTTGCAGAGTTTATAAGAAAATAGTACTGGTTCCAAGGCCAGATTATGCTTCAAGATTTGGCAAGTACCTGAAAACCTGTGTTGGAAGTGTTATTTACATAAAGCTGGGATGTGCAGTGACACATAACACCCCATTTGGTTTGTGCTTGTATTTGTGTACACAGATAGGTTCTCAACCAATTCTGTGCCTTTATGACACTCTGACCCAATTCTTTACCACATATTTGATGGTATTTGTGAATTTCCAGATCTCAGTTAAAAAAACATGCTTATAGATGAGAAAATGCACAACATTAACTTGAGGTGGTGATGGGAGCTACACAGCACCATACATTTTAGGGACATGTTAGGCAGGAGAATTTTATTTCTGTTCACAAGTGACCTTCTAGAAATTATGCAGACACCAGCAGGCAGTGGAATTTGCACAATATTACAGAATGACCTGATGGCCTGACGGACTAATGTATTGCACACTAATTCTGATCTAGCCAATCAAAGTCCATACAAAAGGAATGCAGGCATTCCTTCATGCACACTCAATCTTCACAATAAACTGTTTAATTAAGCAGAGAAGAAAGAAAAAAGGTTAACATAGCTAGCAACAATGACAGAAGACTTCACTTTACACTACCTCTAGGTAAAATGGCTCATGGAGTGGCTGCAGGAGGCTCTGCAACATGCAGGAGGCACTGTTAATATATAGACTTTAGTCTCAGTCTTCCCTAATGCCTTAGTGGTGGAAGTGTCCGCAGAAGAGATCTTGGGGTTTATTGAGAGATCCAGCTGTCATTTCCCTTCTTCTTTGGAGCCAGCAGCTCAGTCTTCAATTTTTACTTCCTCAGTTCAAATAGCTATCTTTTTCTTTATCCCCACAAATGCCTGATGGAACACAAATGATCCCTAGAGTGTTGCCCCATGAGTGATCAGTGGCTCTTTGCTCCACCCTGTAATGGCCCTAGAATCACATAAATGTCCTGATTCAATATGATTTTGCCCATTTGTCCAAAGACAGTACACATCCCTATGTAAAGCTCATTTATGCAAACACATATTAACACTAAATTGAATTGTATTGTGCATCAGATAGATCAAAACATTTGTATGTCTTTATTGTCTACCCACTGTGGGGAAAAATAATTTTGTGAATAAATTTCATTTAGAACTAGAAACCACAAGATTATTACAGAACTTGGTGTTTTGAAATTACTAAGATCTCTGCCAGATTCCACACACTGTTTCTGCCTCCCCACTCAAGTGTTCCTGAAAAGCCACTCCACAGTGGTGAGTGCAGTGGCCTAGGGGAGTGCAGTCAGGAATAAAAAAGTTAGCTTTGCAAGCCCAGATTTGTTTCATTTTTGTATTACTAATCAAATTTTAACAGAAGGTAAAACATAAAAGACTTTAAAGAATCTATAGATGATTGAGAGGTCCCATTATTTCTTTCATTTTCAGACTATCAGTAGTTGTTCATTTCTTAGGCTAAATGTCCAATTTGCTGCAAGCCAATAGTGATGGCATTCAGGATTCAACCAGGGGCTCAAATTAGACATGATGGTGACAGCTGTGTTTGTTCATTCACAATACAGGCTTATCATGTATAAAAAGGGGGTGAGGTGAATGTGAAGTGATCAGAACTGCTTTTGTTCCATAGCTCATCCCTTAGACCCCTTTGGTTTCTTAAAAGTACTATTGTATCTGAATTTATTCAAGAAGAACCGCCACTCAAGAGTGTTACCTCTCAACCAGGGACAGTGCAGTGAGTCAGTCGTGGTTTCTCATTACATTTCCTGGTACTTTACCTGCAATAAGAAGAGTTGAAGGGAAAGTTCTGGGGAAAAGAGAACAAAACACCAAGCTTATCAAACCTATGGTTTATGCAATGCACATAATTAACCCCAAGAATGTGAATTGGAGCTTAGGAAGAAATCAAGCAGCATACTTTCCAAGTGTTCGACCCAGGATCTGTCTTCTCCCACTAAAAGGGAAAGGACATCTGTCACATCCCTTCTCTCTGGCACCAGTGTCAAACCGCCCTTAGTCTTGTCACTTGACTATTGGGGTAATGAGCTCTTTAAATCACCATAGGAAGAAACATTGTTTTCCTTTAAAAACTTTGCTTATTTCCTCTCTTTCTCTTTCACTGCCACCAATGTTTAGCTGCTACATGTGTTTATATTTAACTCTTCAGCTCAGGCCTTTATAATACTTTCCAGGTAGCTGACCCTCAGATATTGAACTCAATGCTACTCAGGTTAATTAGAATAAGTAAGATTTTATTCAAGTGCCAGTGTTAAAGGAACATGGTTTATGCCTAATCTTTAAAGTGATTTAGAGCAATCTTTTACTGTGCTACTTCAGCCCCCATCAGACTCTCAGAATTCTCTCTCAAAGCTCAGACTCTAAAACCACCCTTTCCCCCATCTCTCTACACCAGACTGCCCTATAGCAGACTCCAGACTGAACTACAATTAGTTTCTCATCCAGACAATCAGAAGTAGTCTTATGAACATTCCATGTCCTTCATTTACCTCCCCCCATCATGTACTTCATTATTGTTAATTGTGTGCCATCAGGTCCACTCTGACTTATGGTGACCCTTTCCAGGATTTTCTAGATAAAGAATAATCAGAAGTGGTTGACCATTCCCTTCTTCTGGTGGTGCCTTGGGACTGTGCAGCTTGTCCCTGTCTACACAGGCTGGTTCTTTTCCTAGGAACCACATATAGTGTTTGTTGCCATATTCTTGTTAAGATTGTGGCTTGAAATAGTTTTTTTCAAGCTTTTCATTTTCCTAAAATAGCCATGATGTGGCAGCCACTCATCTGTAGTTGATGATGTTATCACAGCTACATGATTGTAAAATATGCAATCAGATTCTAGCCAATATGTTCCTAACTATAGTTTGGTATTAAGTGTAGCATCCATCACACTAGATTCCTTGAAGATTTACTGGCCATTTAAAAATATTCATATTCATATTTTAAATATGCTGGTACTAATGGTGCTATTTAATTTTTGTACAGTTAACAGTAGGAATGGATGATCATTTTGTTTCTGTTCACTTTTAACAAAAACTTCCAAAAATTCCCAGTTTTTCCATACTGAGAATAGAAAGAATTTGAGATTCCCTCCCATTAATTTTTAGAATGGTTGGATTTCAGTCCTTCTCTATCCAGTCTACTTAGTGCCAAATTAGGGTTTCTGAGAGTCTTCCCAGTTTTTAAACAGCTGTATGGTAGGCAGTTACAGTGTGATCCACCTCAGGCAGAGAATAGCTACACCTGTTGAATATGGTCAGATTGGTGAACATTTTGTTTCTGTTTATTTGCAAAGAATTAACCAAAATTCACAAATTACGTATTTGGAATGGGAGGAATTTGTTCAAAAGATTCAATTGCAGAAGATATTATCAGTTTTTCCCACTGCTAGCTAACCCAATCAGGTTCCTGAATGTACTGTTCCTTCATTAATACCCTTGTGGCTATCTTTTCATTCCTGTTTCTGGCCTTGGACAGTTTTATGGAAACACTTCATACTGCAAAATGGAGGACGACTCTTCAAACAACTGAATATCAGTTGCCTGGCACAGGTGTCTGACGGTTATACACAAGGTCACATTCTCAAGGCAGTTCAAGCAGTCTTAACAGAACGACGTCTGATGCAACTGAACAAGAAGCCACTGGCTGCTGTCGAATTCCTGACTTGCCTTGCCAAGCAAAATCCTGTGTACAAGGAGGAAGAGGAAATGTTTAAGGTTAGTTTGGTCTCTTAAGAAATCCTTAAATAAATGGTAAAATAGAGTTCGAAATGTTTTTCTTTTCATTCAGCTCAAAAATAAAATTTGCCCAGGGTCTATTCATACATTTGGAAACAGAGCCACATGTTCACACCAGAGATGCCGGGAGAGCAGGATGCTTGGCACTTTGGTCCAGAATGTTAAAGGGTGCAAAAACTGGCTGCTGGAAAGGTGCAAATCCATCCATTAGTATCTGCTTCTGGAACGGCACAAACTCCCTGATTATGAGCATATACACTGCTTCTGACTGTTGCTCTGAGGCAGAAAGAAACAGAAAACAGGCAGACTCAGCAGAGAACAAATATGGCTATCAAGACACAGGCGTTCCTCCGCGTTCCTCCATCCAGGCCCTCTGAGAACTCAAATGCACCCAGGCCATTTCACATTGTGGTGTTCCCTCATTGTTTCGGGAAAAGAGTTAAAATATTTTAATGTAAAGAGTGTCATGTTAATTTAAAAAAAAATATCATAGAATGCCTGACAGTCATGCAGCCTTGACTGAAGAGAGCCCCCTCCCTCCCAGCGAGGTGAGGCCTGGGCCAAATGGGCTTGCTGGCCATTCCTCTTCATAGGAACTGCCTCTCTCCACTTCCCATTTATGTCAATCTCATGTGCCCAAGCTTAACCAATACAGCAATAAAGCCATAGGGCACCCAAATTGCTGCCTGTGACCCAGAGTCACATCCATCTTCTCCCCACTGCTAATTTTGCTTCACTTCTAGAAGCAAAGTGCACACATGTTGAGTGCAATCAAGATACAGCCGATGTCTGTTCTGTTTTCGCTGCTCCAGTTCTGGTGAAAATAAGAATTGTTCTATACCCAGTATTATCAAAATCGCAATCAGTGCATACATACTGTAAGCTACATGTACAGTATATACTGTAGCAACCCATAGTGTTGAAGTATAATGGGTACAGGTAAGCCTGACATTTTTATACCACTGCACATTGTATTTATGTTTGTATATGTATCCTTATAAATATGGGAATGGACTGTCTTAAGTGATGAAGGAATGAGGAATGTAATTATAGATGATGTTAGATCCAGCATTCTATCTTGTGGAGCTTGCATTGCTATAATCTTCCCAACACCACAAACACTGTGGCCAGTTTTGGCAGTCAAAGCAACGTTTTGACCATTTTGTTCTGCTTCTTCCTATAAAACTGTAGACCTATAGAACTGCAAAGCAACCCAGGGGTCATTTGAGTTCAGTCCCCTCTAAATCTACAGCTAAAGCATCCATGGCGTGGTCATACAACAATCAGTCTAAAAATCCCCAATGAAAGAAAACTTACCACCTTCCAGGTAGTTCATTCCACTCTCTTACTGTAAGAATATTAGGAAGAAAGATATTCATAATGTTAATTTGAAACTCCCTGTGGATCCTATTTGAATTTACTAGTTTAGGTTCTATACTTTGGAGCTGCAGAAAACAAGCCTGCTCCATCTTCTATTTGAAAATGGCGATCATTCTCACCTCTTAGTGTTCTCATATTGACACTAAGTGTACCCAACTCACTCAGGTGTTCCTCACAGGGCTTTGTTTCTGGACCCTTTATCGTTCTGGGCAAAGTTCTCTTTGTCTCATATATCACCATCCTTTCCATGCAAAGGAGCTACCACTTCTTTGTTCTTCTTTGTGGTCTCTGTGAATGCACACTAATGGGTTAAGTCTGTGCCTGCACAGAGGTCTCAGAATATTCTACAGCTAAAAGATTGGTAGGACTGCCCCCCGTCCCCCGTAGCCCGCATGGTCCTCCTCTCCTAGCGATTACCTCAGTTCCTTTTTTTCCATTGCTGAGGTCTGACCTCTAAAGCTTCCCTTGGAAGATTGGTTCATTCTAAAAGAGAAAATAGATTGTTTTTGCTAATAGTTCGTATTTGCCTTTGATTTTCTACTTGATTCTTCACAAAAAGAAGAGAGACTCATTATTCGTTGATAATTTGGACTCCTCTCCATTTCCACCCCAAATTTTCCCCGCTTCCCACCTTTTATGGCCCCAACAGGCCTTTTCAAAAAATGTGCCTCGTGCACTAATAAACTTTCACTATCCAGTGGTCAAAGTGCTTGCTTGTTCTGTTTGGGAGAATCACATCAGCCTTCCAGCTGTCCCAATTGCAAGAAATTTACCAAGCAAGCTATCAAACTCAAACAACAAAGACTTAGATCTTATTTGTGGGACCAATCGCTTTGTCCACCAGTCGTGATGGACAATTTTCAGACTCCTCAGTTGCCTGTGTCTTCAGACGCTGTTTCACCAATACAATCTCCAAAAACCAAGACGTCAAAATCCAAGTCATCAGGATCTACAGCACAATCCACCCCGACATCCAAGCCTAAATCGAAATCCACTACTACCAAACCAAAAAAGCCTCAGAAACCGCTAACGGAAGAACAGGACTTGGTACAGGCATCTGTGGTACAGACCCATGCTACCATCAACCTAGATACCGACAAGGAATCTGCAGCCTCAAGGCAACCACCATCCCCTCTGCTTACAAGATCTCCATCATGCACAGATATCTCGGCTGAGGTAATTGCTGCACGATATTTGGCCCCTTTGAGCCCCAAATCATTGGCTGGCTCAGTATCAGAGTGTGGTTCGGGTTCACTTCAGGCCCCTGATCCAATTAAGATCCAAAAGAAGAAACAGAAACACCACCACACTGACCGATACAATACCGCCACTATACAATCTCCACGCCATTCGGGGCTGAAGGTATTGCAAGGCTCAAGGGCTTACAAGCATCAGCCCAGGCACGTTACACTATTTGAGCCTCCAATTTACTACAATCTGCCAGCTATTCCAAACCGCCATCATCGCTGGTATTGGCACTACAGGATGGAACAATCTGGCAACCCTCACATGTGGTGCGCGTGTTGGTACCCATCAGATACGTCTGCCTCTTCTCCTTGGTACCAGATGGAGGACCGGTATGAAGAACTCTCCCATACTGACAGTCCTCTCCCGGTACTGGCATCCCATACTGGGCACTGTTACAGTCAGCTCTGATGTCACCTGTCCTTCAAGGGTTTGGAGGGGAAAATGTCATCCAACGGTGGTCGGAGGGCGGGACATCAGGGGGAGGAGCTGTGTTGTATATATAGAGAGTGAGAGTTTGGATGTGAGAGAGAGCAGGAGTTGGGTTCTGTGTGAACACGTGTGGAGAGTCTGTATAAGCTTGAGCCTTTCTTTACCTGATTACATGATATTTGTGTTTTACCAATCCGTGTGTACCAATCAATAAACATTTAGTTCTTTTTTATTTCTAAATCCATTCCTGTCTGTGTGACTCAATTCAGGGAATGGTTGGTGGCAGACTACCGGAAGTGTAGAAGTGTGGTGACGTAGCGACCTTCCTTTGTGAGGTGGAAGGAGGCCGTTACAGGCACCGTAAACGACAGGCAAGTACCCCACCAGCCCGACTGGTACCGAGGAAGCAAAAAACTACCTAGCACTCAGTACTGACCATTTCCCAGGACCGAGGTGCCCCGGTTTCAACTTCATCTAAAGACTGAGCTGCCTCTGCTCCATCTTCCCGGGATAGAACCTCTTTGGTATGGGCTACAACTATTTATGCTGGCCCTCCGCCCAATACTGGGCATGTCTCAAAGTCAAAAAAGAGAACATTGGAGGGTAGGACACTGTTGATATCACACAAACAGGGTGAGAGATCTAAACATCGTCAGATCGAGCATTCTCCTGACATCTCTCATTCAGCCTCTTCTCAATCATCCGACTTGGAGTCCTCAATCAAGCTCCTTATCTTTCTCAGATTCTTCTCCTAATCTGGCAACACCTAACTCGGACATCATAGACGCCAATCCTCCCTCTCAAGCTTAGGATTTTGCATCTTATTCCCATCTTGTCCAGTGCCTTGCAAAGCACTGGACCGCGACGTCCAACAGCCCACCCAGTCTGAATCCAACAAAGTTTTTCAGGATATAGACGAGGACCAAGCACCACCCCTCCATATTGGATTCATCCCATCATTGATGAAACTGGTGAAATAATCATGGGCTTCCATATGGGATTCATCCCATCATTGATGAAACTGGTGAAACAATCATGGGCCAAGCCCTCTTCGGTACCACAGATCTCCCAGAGAGTGGGAAAGCTTTATAAGACACACGGTACTGACACTGAGTTCTTATCCAAGCATCTACTGTCACCCCGAGTAATAAGGAAGGTAGGAAATTGGACATAATTGGCTGTAGGGTTTATTCCTTAGCTTTTTTTACTTTCAGAGCTGCGAACGAGTTGGCAGCCATGGGAGCTTACCATTAACACCTTTGGAACTGGGCTTTACCATCCCTACAGGCAGCTCCTGCAGAGATTATACCGAGGGGCCTCTCCTTCCACCAAGAGGCCATGGCTCTAGCCCATCAAGAAAGAATCATGGCGCAGCACATCACTGAGATGGCATCAAAACATATGGTCATTGCAATAGCCCTATGAAGGCATGCTTGGCTTCGGTCAGCTAATAGCACAGAGGACTCCAAAATTTGTATAGAGGACTTACCTTTCGATGGTTCCGGCCTCTTTGATACTAAGAGAGATGACATCTTGGAAAATCTACAAAAGATGAGAAAGACGGCATGCTCTTATAATGTTCAGCCCTATTACAAAAATCAACGCCACCAATGGTGACGCCAGTACCCATACCAGCAATATAAATCATTTCCTACCAGCCTCAACAGCATGCCCAATGTCAGCATCCTCAACAATCATACAGGCACCCTGAGAAGCAAAACAAGCAGAACCTTTGACTTTCCGGCCCCTTTGTCTCCCATCCTGTCCACCACTCCTACCACCCGTCTTGCACCATTCTTTCCCGTGTGGGCGTGTATCACTACAGATTCCTGGGTTCTATCAATCATCGCAAATGGGTACACTATAGAATTCTTATCTCTTTCTCCTCCCCGAGTTATCTTTACCCCTTCTTCCACTGCTCT